TCGAAGTCCTTCTGCAGCTTCCCCATTTCCTCACTACCTGTCCCTCCACCTGTGGAGTATTTGCAGCAGTCTGTTTTTATTATACATTATTTCGCCTGACTTAGAAACAGTTTGAGCAGCCTAAACGTGATCTGAACAATACTTTCACCATAAACCTTTGCCATTAAAGAAAAAGCTAAAATATAAAGCACTAATGCCATCTAGAGACACAATAAACATACAGTGCAATGATAAACCATGAGAAACCTATTCACTGCTCTGTGAACATGAAAGAACCTGGTAAGACTGACTTTCAAGGTAACAAACTGTAACAATCCAGTTACAAAAGCAGGATTTGCTCATGCTGTCAGGGACAGTTTAAACAATCTAGGCAGGGGGGGATTGAGAAGCTGAATAGAGATAACCAGAAGGTAGAAAACAGAATGGGAAATGGAAGGCAGAAAATTATCTGGAGAGAAAACAAAAAAAGTGCTGGAGATCACAGCAGGTCAAGTAGCATCCATGGAGAGAAAGCAAGCTAACATTTTGAGTCTGCATGACTCTTCATCAGAGCGGATATAAAGTGTGGAGGGGGCAGCATTTATGCAATAGTGGTGGGGGGGGGTTGTTGAAGTGCTGGGGGGGGAAAGGATGTTGATAGTTCAGATTAATATGAGAATGGCAGAACAATGGTGTGCCCAACTGACAGACTGGAAAGAACAGCAAGCCCACTGGGGAGGGGTAGGCGAGGGACGGTGACAGAGAACACAACAAGCAAAACTAAGAGAAAGGGAAGGAATGGGTCCACAATTTGAAGGTGTTGAAGTCAATATTGAGCCAAGGTTGTAAACTATGTAGTTCGAAGATGAAATGTTGCTCCTCCAGTTTGCGCTGTGATTCGCTGGAGCATTGCAGCATGCCGAGGACAGACTGGTGGGATTGCGAGCAACAGGCTGTGTTAAAATGACCAGCTATGGGAAAGTCAGGTCATGCTTGCGCATGGTCCAGAGATGTCCTACAAAGCGGTCATCCAGCCTGTGTTTGATTTCTCTAATGTAGAGTAGGCCACATTGGGTGCAGTGAATACAAAACATAAGATTGCAGGAGGTACAGGTGAAATGCTGCTTCACCTGGAAAAACTGTTCAGGCCGAGGCTGTAGACTTGCTCGCTGAGCCGGGGGGAGTTTGGTTGCAAACGTTTCATCACCCCGCTGGGTAACATTGTCAGTGCATATCCGGTAATTCAGAAAAACAGAACCGGAAGTGATGCCAACCACCCCAGCAAACCAAGGCGTATAAATAACAAGTGGGGCAGAACACCAACACTTCACCAGCAGTGCACTGACGATGTTACCTAGCAGGGTGACAAAACATTTGCAACCAAACACACCAGCCCGGTAAACATGTCTACAATCTCATCCACAACCCGACCTACAAATCTTCTCATAAACTTTCGACTGTTTAGGCCCTTGGATGGTGAGCAGGGAGGAGGTGAAGGAGAGGTGTTGCACCTTCTGCAGTTACATGGGAAGGTGCTGTGGGAAGGGGGTGGTGTTCGTGGTCGAGGAATGGACTAGTGTGTCCTTGATGGAACGATCCCTGCAAAATACAGAAAGGGGGAATGAGGGGAAGATGTGTTTGGTGGTCGTGTTCTGCTGGAGTTGTCTGAAATGGCAAAGACGATCCTTTGAATGCGGAGGCTGGCGGAGTGTAAAGTGAGAACAAAGGGCACCCAATCACACAGCTGTAGGTGATGGGAAGGGGCAAGGGCAAAAGCACAGATGTTAGGTCAAATGCGGTTGAGGGCCCCGTCAACCACAGTGTCCACGAAACTACAGTTATGGAAGAAGCACGCCACGTCAACAGCACTGTTTTGGAAGGTGGCATCATCCGAACAAATACAACATAGGTGAAGGACCTGGGAGAATGGGACGGAATCCTCACAGGATGAGGGGTGTGGTGAGCTGTAGTGAAGGTAGCTATGGGAGTCTGTGGCTTTGTGGTGATGGAAGTGGACAGTTTATTCCCCGAAATGGGGACGGAAAGGTCAAGGAAAGGAAGGGAAGTGTCGGATATGGACAATGTGAAAGCTATAGAAGAGTAGAAATTGGAGGCAAAATGAACAAAATTTCAAGGTCCAGGCAGCAGCATGAAGCGGTACCAAAGCAGTTGTCGATGTACCGAATAAAGACTTGTGGGTGGGTCGGGGCCAGCGTAGGACTGGAACAAGGATTGTTCCACACATCCCATAATGAGGCAGGCATAACTGGGACCCATGCGCGTGCCCATAGCCATTCCTTTGACTTGGCAAAAGTGAGATGAATTAAAGGAGAAATTGTTCAGTGAGAAAACAAGTTTAGCCAAGTGGAAGAGAGTGATGGTGAATAGGGACTGTTCAGGCCTCTGGTTGGAGAAGAAACCAAGAGCTCTCAGACCATCCTTAATTCCCCACCAGGACCTTCCCGTAGTTGGTCATTTTCACACAGCATCTTGCTTGCAATCCCACTGGTTTGTCTTCAGCATGCAGCAATACTCCAGTGAATCACAGTGCAAACTGGACGATCAAAATCTCATCTTCAAACTAGGCAGTTTACAACATTCTGGGCTCATTATTGAGTTCAACATCGTCAAATTGTGAACCCATTCCTTCCCTTTCGTTTAGCTTTGCTTGTTACATCTCTGTCACTATCTCTCCCCTACCCCCACCCCAGTGGGACTATTGGTTCTAGTCTGGCAGTTAGACACACCATTGTTCTGCCATTCTCACATTCTGATCACTTAAATCTGAAATGTCAACATCCTTTCTTCCTTAGCAAACCACCCCCTTCCCCCAACGATTGCAGAAATGCTGCCCCCTCCACACTTCACCTCAGGCCTGATGAAGAGTTATCTAGACTCAAAACATTCGCTAGCTTTCTCTCCATGGATGCTGCTTGACTCACTGTGATCTCCAGCATTTATGCTTTCAGTTCAGATACCAGCGTCTGCAGTAATTTGCTCCTAAGTTATCTGGAGAGCTAGGAAGGCAAAGCAAACAAAGGTCTGGAGTAGATCATTAAGGGTGTAAACCCAAAACGTTGACTTTCCTGCTCCTCTAATGCTGCCTGACCTGCTGTGTTCTGACCCCAACATCTGCAGTTCTTGCTATCTCTTTGCAATAGACATAAAAGGACACTGGAGAGTCAAATATGTTAACTCTCTTTCAGGTGCTGGTAGACCACTTAGCGTTACAGGCCTTCCTGTTGTTTATATTAGATTAAAAAAAAAGCAACTTGCTTGAGCACAACAAAATATCCAAATGTGAAAATACAGTAAATAACACAAATGAGCTAAGCAGACAAATTGACATGTGGAACTTTGAGTCATACAGATATACAATACAGAAAAAGGCCTTTCAGCCCATTTCGTTCACACTAATCAAAAACAACCACCTCATTATTCCAACCCCATTTTCCAGCACTTGGCCCATAGCCTTTTATACATTGGCATCACGAGTGCACATCTAAATACTACGAGGATTTCTGCAGTGTGTTCCAGATTCCCACTATCCTCTTTCCTCACATCTCCTCTAAACCTACCGCACCTTACCTTAAATCTATGCCCTGGTCATGGATCCCTCCATCAAGATGAAAGTTTCTTCCTGTCTAGCCTATCTATGTCCCTTGTAATTTTATACATCTCGCTCATGCCCCTCCCCAAATCTCCTCAGCTTTAAGAAAATCTCTCTTCATAACTCAAACTCTCCAGTTTAGGCCACATCCTGGTAAATTTCCTCTGCACTCTCTCCAACACAATCATATCCCTCTTATAATGTGGATTCCAGAACTGCACACAATACTCTAGCTACGGCCTCACCCATGTGATGTTGCCTGGAATGGAGGGAAGGTCTTACGAGGAAACGTTGAGAGGCTTCTCTCTTTAGAAGGACGAATGATGAGAGGTAACTTGATAGAGGTGTACAAAATGATCAGAGGTATAGATAGAGCGGACAGCCAGAGACTTTCTCCTAGGGTGGAGGTAGCTATTACGAGGGGGCATAGTTTTAAAGTGAGTGGAGGTAGATATAAGGGAGACGTCAGAGGTAGGTTCTTTACTCAGAGAGTGGTAGGGGCGTGGAATGCATTGCCGGAGAGGGTAGTGGAGTCGGCCCCATTAGGGGCATTTAAGCGGCTATTAGATAGGCATATGGATGATAGGTATAAGGTAGGGGTGGAGGTTAGATAGACTTTAGGTTTAGGGTAAAAGTTCGGCACAACATTGTGGGCCAAAGGGCCTGTACTGTGCTGTACTGTTCTATGTTCTATGTATTATACAGTTCCAGCATAACCTCACTGCTCCTAAAATAAAATAAAATAGATCGGGATAACCTATTTACTATAGCAGAGTAGTCAAAACCTCAGGGCATAGATATAAAGTAACTTGTAGATGGATTAGAAGGGAGATGAAGTATTTTTCACCAGAGCATGGCAAGGACCTGGAACATTCACCTGAAAGGATGAAAGTTTCTGATTTGACTGTCACATTTAAACAGTCAGATATCTTCTAGAAGATCAGTTAGCTGATTGATCAAACGCAGAAGGTGGAATTGGGCTGGGTAGCCCGTCATGGACTGCCACAGACACACTATGTACTGAAAGACCCCCTTGTACCAATTTCTGGGATTTCTATGAGATTGAAGCAAGCCACCATTTCAATTCAGTTTGCCAGGAAGCCAAATACATGCCCAACCAATGAGAACTCAGTGACGTTAGTAATCTCAAGACTCTCAGCAGACTGTCTGTCACCAGCACACAATAAAAACCTCCATCTCGCTCATCAAGAGCAGCCAGCCTCTACATCCTCACGCTCAGCTGGTCTGCTGCCTGCTTCGAGATTCACTGTTAACGTACCCACTACTTCAAGCACACTCGCAGAGAGATTGTAACAACCTCCCGGTTCTAAACTGAAAAAGGAACATGACAGCAACTTCAAAGTGTCTCTGACCACTTCCAGTGTGGTGTCAAGGGAAGTTTCGCTCCTACCTCTGTGTGTTTCTGGTCAAGTAATAATCGAAACGCACTGAGCTCCTGTTCTCGGACCTTCAGCCTGGTTTCTACCGACTGGAACTGCGCTTCCCACTCAGACTTTTTCTGGGCTACCATGATATCGATCTGCTTCATCAGCTCTTGTAATTCAGCCTCACAGGTGGTAAGAGAACTGCTGCAACTTGATTCAGTCGAAGCCAACAAAATTGAAGAGAAAGAAATTTAAAGTTTGAGTAAGATTGCTTTCTGAAAATGACTTGGCAAAAAAAAGACATCATTCAATACAACTGTTTCAGTAATGATGGAACCCAGCAGGTTCACTCATGTTATTTATGGATAGAACCAGCCCTACCCCTAGTCAAATTATTTCAGTACAGCTACTGTACTGTACTGTGTTGTACACCTGAATCTAACCAACAAAGTGGAAAATTTTCCAAGTACATCTTGCACAAGTCAAAAAAGACAAATCAACCGGGTCAATTATTGCTCCCTTAGTCTATGCTGGTGAAAGGGATGGAATAAGTTGTCATCAGTGCTATCAAGCATTACTTACTCAACTTTTAGTTTTGAGCATTTTAACTCCTGACCTTATTACAGATTTAATCCAAACATGAATGGAAGAGCTGGATTACACCGGTGAAGTAAGAATGATTGCCCTGGGCACTGGCAGCATGCAATCGACTGCAGCAGTGTGGCATGAAGGAGCCTTAACAAAGGTAATGTCAATGTGATTGGAGCTGAAGGAAGCTGATCGTCTCAGCTTCAGGACGTCACTACAGGAGTTTCTGAGAGCAGTACCCTAAGTCCAACAACCACAGCTGCTAATTCAATAATCTTCATAAGAATAGAACTGCGATTGCTTGAACAATGTTCTGAACCACTCACAACCTCATATACTGAAGTAGTCCATCTCGATATGTAGCCAGCCCTCTTAAGGCTTGTGCTGGTAAGTGGCAAATAACATTCAGGTCAAATAGGTGCCAGGCAATGATCATTGCCAACAAGAGAGAATCTAACCATTGATTCTTGGCATTCAATGAATCTATTATCACTGAATCCAACCTCTACTATCAACATCCCAGGGATTACCAGTGACCAGGAACTGCCCTGGGTCAGCCATGTAAATTCTACAGTCAAAAGAATAGATTGGAGACAAATATTACACCATCTGCCTCCCAATGCTTGCCCACCACCACCATCACCCCCAACACACTTCTCATGCCACTCCTACATACTTTGCTTAGTCACTTATCTCATATCTACTATGGACAAGCCTCAATATATCCCTAAATGAACAGAAAAAAATTAACAATTTAATAGGGCTGCCATATTCAAACACAATTCTCCATCCATGAAATGGGAAAAAAACGCAAATCTCCTCAAGAGGTCAGTCTTATAAAAACATGTACTAATCCACTTAAAACATCACACAAATAATCCTTTAATAAATGATTAAACCCTACAATCAAAAATTGAAAACAGAATCCCCTCCTGAGATACATAATCTTAACATTTTGAAACTCAACCAAATAACCCTAGTCATCAAAACAAACTGAGAAATGTCAATAACAGAGTCCATTGAAACTGAAACACATCTTCTTTAAGTTGCAGGTGCTGTTTCATTTCCATTTCCTAGCAGACTTGGGCAACTGACTGTGTGGAGTTTGCACATTGTCTCCATGACTGCATGGGTCTCCTGTGGGTGCTGCTGCTTCCTCCCACAGTTTAAAGATGTGCAGGCTAGGTGGATTAGCCATGGAAAATGCAGTGTTACAGGAATAGGGTGGGGAGGGGTGGATTAGAGTAAGATGGTTTCGGAGGATTGGTGTGGACTCGATGGCCTGAATGACATGCTTCCACACTATAGGGATTCTATGACTGTCTGTCAATCACTGAAGCACAGCTAGCTCTGAGATTATTTGATGCTCAACAACGTGACTACTACTTTATCAAAACTAAAGATCACTAAACATAATGGACTCGGTCCAAAACAAGACAGGAGAATTTTCCAGTTCATATTCCTGCAGTTACAAATGAGTCATGGCACTTTATCTTTGGGAAATGTAAGATGTAACGTCAAGTCACCATAGACCTACTACATTATTGAGCTGCTCTTTGTTTAGAGGGAGATGACTGGTGCAGGTTTAACCTGTAGATTATCACACCTCAGGCGAGAGGAGAAGTTGAGAAGGGGTGTCCTTCATGGTAACCTCAGCTGGTGTGGGAATTGAACCCACACAGTTGGCATTCCTCTTCATCACAAACTAGCCGTTCTTCCAACTGAGTTAACTATAAAATTCCACATATTGGAAAAGGGGGTCAGAATCACAGAATTGGATCTTGTCCATCATTTTTACATTTCCTTCCCACTAGAAATATAACCCCATAAAGTAATGTTCCCTGTAAGTTGTACAACAATATGGCCCAGGCCAGACACAAGCCAGCACTTTTAACTTACCACACATGCACAGGCACAGGCGCAGGCACAAACTTAATAAAGATTATCCAAGCACTCCAAAGAAATTAAGAGAATATTTTATCCTAAACATACTCATTGACTGAAATCTATTTGTCAGCTCAAAGACATCAAGATTAATTGCACCATGTTACAGAATTGTTATGGTGCTGGGGAAGCTCATTTGGCCGATTGTGACTGCACCAGCTCACTAAGTGAGCAATTCACTTGATGCCATTCTACCACCACCTCCCAGTAACCCTGCACATAGATCATTTTCAAATAACAGTCCAATTCTTTTTTGAACACCTCAATTGAACCTGCCTCCACCAAACTCTTAGGTCCTACATTCCAGACCCTAATGACTTACTGCCTGTAAACCTTCCTCTCATGATACTTCTGCCTCTTGTGCTAACTGCTTTAAATCTGGAGATTATCAAGATTATCCAGAACTTTTTTTAAAAATTCCTCCTGTACACCTTGCAGCATTGTTTCTCAGATTTCTCACTTTCCAATTTTCCAAACAAATTACAGTGTTCCCTTCATTCCTATTCATCCTAGAACGTAGCAACATAGCATGAGGCCATCCTGTCCATTGTGTCTGTCAGCTCTTTGAAGAATCCAATTCATTTCACTTCCCCATTCTTCTCTCCTAATCATTTTTGAGTCCTCCTGTAAGATGTAACTAGTTAAAAGAGACACATAATGTGACTGTGCTAGATTTTGAGGTTTGATAAACATGATGAATGACAGCACAGCATTGCAATTTAGAAGCTATTTACTACAATGGCAAAAGTGAAATTAAGCTCCCAAAGATTTTCTAAGAACAATCAACACTTTCAAATGAGTTTTTCTACTTACCCATCTTGACCAAAGTTTTGCACTGCTTCCAGTAAAGCTTCCATTTCTTCCTTTCCTCCCAGCTTCAGATGGACAACTATACACATAGGACAGAGAGAGTTAATACATTTCCTTAAAACTGTGTCTGCCATACTCTCCTGTCAACTAAACTTTCTGTTCTACTTTCATCATACTTCTCAGGTCTGGAGTTATCCACCTTTTTCTTTCACAATGAAACCATTTTCACTTCCAGGACTCTTCCTCATTAATAATTGTTTAGATTACCCTTCCAACTCCTACTCTACAATCCTGAGTAGGATCACAGGTTAAATTCACTTTATTATCCCATTTCTTATCTTAGAGTCTTTCAATCACCTCATTGCGAAAAAATGTCAGGGGCTGTGAAAAAGAAAGTAGGGAGTAGGAATGATTGGACAAATATTTCAATGATCAGCACAGACACAAAGGGCATTACAGTGCATTCAGCAAGTGGACATCAGTCTCTCACTTCATTAGGTTCAGGAATGAGGGACTTCAGTTACCTGGATAAATGGGGGAATTTGGCACAGTTTGTCTTGGAGAAGAGAAGGTTGAAAGGAGACTGGATAAGTGTGTTAGAAATCATGAGGAATCTGATCAGAGAAATTGCTCCTATCGTGGAAGGATCCAGCACAAGAGGACACAGATTTAATTGGCAAAAAATGCAATGGTGATTTGAAGTAAAACTTATTCACGCTGTAAGTGGTTATGAGCTGGAATGCACTGCCTGAGAATGTGCTAGAAGCAACTTCAATTGAAGAGGGATTAGGCCTGTCACAGTGGCAAAACGAAGTAATGGACCCAGGTAAATTGCTCCTCAGGACAGCCGGTGCACACCTGTTGGGCTGAATTGTTGTCCCAATACTGAAACAAATCTGTGATTTTGATTAAATTGTTCTGTCTGCCAAACCAACCCCTCGAGAAGGACACTATGTGAGACTTTTTTTTTAGGCTGAAGTGAACATAGCTTTAACTTCTTAATTATTGAAACACCATTACTGGCAACTTCAACTTTCAACAGAAACAAAAACAAAAATTGCTGGAAAAGCTCAGCAGGTCTGGCAGCATCTACGGAGAGAAATCAGAGTTAACGTTTTGAGTCAAGTTCTGAGGAAGTGTCACTCAACCCGAAACATTAACTCTGATTTCTCTCCGTAGATGTTGCCAGATCTGCTGACCTTTTCCAGCAATTTTTGTTTTTGTTTCCGATTTACAGCATCTGCAGTTCTTTGGGTTTTTATTCGACTTTCACCATTAGCTTTACCTCTCCTCATTGATTAACTTGGCACTACTTGGCCCTAAATTTTTCTTTCTAAAGATAATCTTGAATTACAATCAATCTCTCCACATCCTGATTATTCAGCTATTAATCAGACACCACCAACTACCATTTCACTTGTTATGACCAGACCTCAGGTAAGGTTCCCCAGTTTTACATTTTCAAACAGGATACCCCAAACTGTTGAGGTACTGTGCTAGAAGAGATGAACTGGCTCCTGTGCTTTATTTTCAGATTAATTTATAATAATTTATTGTCACTTGTATTTATGAAAATACAGTGAGATGTGTATAAGTCGCCACAATTTGGTGCCATTTTAATTGCAGAAATTATAAAAAGAAATAAATTGAGACAAAGTTAGGACAAAGTTCATCTTTTGTTCCCTTCATGGCTCCTGAGTTTCTGGAGCAGCTACAGGACACTGCTGCGGAAGCTGCCCCTGAGGCCGCCAAAGGACACAGTCCTCCCAGACTCAAATGAACGTATGTTTTAAAAAGGAGACAAATTAGCCAGGTTTTCTTGAATTAACACAAAGAATTTACGAATTACTATACACAAAAAGAATTAGTAAGGCAGCGCATATCAATAAGAAATGAGGAGTTCAAAAAGATTAAATTTTAAAAAAGCAGATATACAAATCGGTTTCTTAATTGTTCCCATTGAGAGGATATTTGAACATTTGCAGCCATTGCAAGACAGCCCAATGTTCCCTTTAAGCTGTGCAGCTGCAAAGCCACTAGCAGGGTGTACTCACACCAAATAGCATACAGATGCATTGACTTCGAGTTCAGGTGGTCACTGCTGCACATGGATCTCGGAAGTCTGCACAGCGGCAGAAAACGTTGTGGAAACATAGGTAGAAGTTAGCAGTCGAGTTGGTGTCAGTCGTTGAAGTTGATTTGGGTCAATCCACTACAGACAACTGCAGGGTTTCAAGAAGGCAGCTCACCATCACCTTCTTAAGGGTAACTAGAGACGGTCAATAAATGCCGGCCTGCCAGCGATGCCCACATCCCACGAATGAATAAAAAGTTGATTTCATGACCCTTTGTTTTGCGGAGTGGTTGAGATTCTGTACTTCTGATTCTTTTTGATTGAATTTCAGCATTCAAGGAGAGAGAGCTCTTTGTTGTCCTGTTTCCTCTGTCTGGTTTGTAAAAAAGAGGAATTTCCATCACTTGCAACACATGGGTGACTGGGAGTAGTTCTTCAACTGTGACGCTTCGTAGCATGCTAATACCTGAACCCAGGCTGGGAAATACAAGAACATTCAACCCTACTAGTTCACTCCTTTGGAACGGGAAATGGCTAATTTTTTAAAATCTCTTGCCCTTGTGTATTCTTCGAAGGAAAAACATAAAACATGACTGCACTCTGGAATATATTCCACAGAGGGTGGCTTATTGGTCAGCAGAGGGTCATCTGGCCCTGGTTCTCTTTGCAGTCACAGGAGATCACAGTCTGGTCTTCCCCCTTTCAAGAGCTGTTCTTCGATGCTCCCTTCACACCCATAGGTGTTATTTTCTGTTGGACTCTCTCTCTGAGTGGCCACTTAATTGACATGATCAAGATATTCCAGGTATCAGATGTGTGAACATTCTCAGAAATGCTTCTAATGCACTTATGTCCTTTCTTAAATAAAGGGACCAAAATTGTACACAGTACTCTAAATCTGGTCTCACCAATTCCTTCTACAATTGCGTCAAAAATCTTTACATGTAGATTATGGGTCCCTTGAAAAAAACAACAATGATCCAAATGCAAAGAGAAAGAACAAGAGAACAATACAAAAATACAACACAGGAACAGACCCTTGGGCCCCAAGACAGTGCCCATGATGCTTTTCTAAACTAAAAACCTTTTGCCTCTACTTGGTCCAAATCCCTCTATTCCCTGCCTATTCACATATCTATCAAGATGCCTCTTATGCCACGTTGCTATTGTATCTGCCCCCACCACCTCCTCTGGCAGCACATTCAGGTCACTTCACACCATCTGTGTAAGAAGCTTGCTTCTCACATTTCTTTTAAACTTACCCAGTTTCACATTAAACCAAGTCCCCTAGTATTTGAAATTTCTACCCTGGGAAAAAGACTCTGACTATCCATTCTACCCATGCCTCTCATAATTGGGTAAACTTCTATCAGGTCACCCCTCATCCTTTGACATTTAAGTGAAAGCAAATCAACTTTGTCCAATCTCTCCTAATACTCTCCAAACCAGGCAACATCCTGGTAAACCTTTTCCATACCCTTTCCAAAAGCCTCCACATCCTGCTGCTAGTGTAGCGACCAGAACTGTACGCAATATTACAATGTGGCTTCAGTAAATTTCTAAACAGCTGCAACGTCATGCCAATTGTTATGTTCTATGCCCTGACCAATGAAGGAAAGCATGCACATACCTTCTCGACCACCTTATCCACTCGCGTTAACTGTGGACCTGTACGCCAAGATTCCTTTGTATGCTGATACTACTAAGAGTTCTACCATTTACTTCCCTCTTGCATTAGATCTTCCAAAATGCTTCACCTTGCATTTGTCCAGATTAAACCCCATCTACCATTTTTCTGCCCAAGTCTCTAGCTAATTCATTCCCTGTTGTATCCTCTGGTAATCCTCCTCACTATCCACAAGCTCCTCCAATCTTTCTGCCAACTGCAAACTTACTAATCAGACTACCTATGTTCTCCTCCAAATCATTTACATATATTTCAAACAACAGGGATCCCAGCACTGATCCTTGAGGAACACCACTGGTCACAGATCTCCAATCTGGAAAACACCCTTCCACCGCTACTCTCTGTCTTCTAAGACTGAGCCAGTTCTGTATCCACCTTACCAGCTCACCTCAGATCACATGTTACTTCATCTTCTGTATCAGCTCGCCAGGAGGGACCTTGCCAAACCTCTTTGCTAAAGTCCATATATACAACACCCACCACCCAAACCTCATCAATCAACTTTGTCACTTCCTCAAAAAACTCAATCAAGTTTGTGAGACACGACCGACCGCGCACAAAGCCATGCTGCCTATCACTAAAAAGTTCATGTTTTTCCAAATATGCGTAAACCCAGTCCCTAATTATCTTCTCCAATAATTTCCCTCCCACTGACGTAAGGTTCACTGGCAACATTGGTATTCTCTGTTTTGTCACAGGGGAGGCAATGGCCTAGTGGTATTATCGCTGGACTGTTAATCCAGAGAGCCAGATAATGTTCTGGGTACCCGGATTTAAATCCTGCCACGGCAGATGGTGGAATTTGAATTCAATAAATATCTGGAATTAAGAATCTAATGATGACCATGAATCCATCGTTGATTGTCGGAAAAACCCATCTGGTTCACTAATGTCCTTTAGGGAAGGAAACTGCCCATCCTTACCTGGTCTGGTCTACTTGTGACTCCAGACCCAGAGCAATGTGGTTGACTCTTAACTGCCCTCTGGGCAATTAGGGATGGGCAACAAATGCTGCCTAGCCAGCAACGCCCTCATCCCGTGAATGAATAAAGAAAATAAAATTTTAAAAAAGAGGATACAAAGATGTTGTACAAGACCCCAGCAATTTCCTTACATGCCCCCCTCAGTATTCCATGATAGATTCCCATCAGGACATGGGGACTTGTCTACCTTCATTCTTTTCAAAACACCCAACACACCCTTCTTTTTTTATAATGACATGCCCTAGAATACCAGCTTACCTCCCCAGAGACTCACCATTCACCATGTCCTTTTCCTTTGTGAATACTGATGCAAAATATTAATTTAGAACTTCACCCACTTCCTCCAGCCCCATACACAGATTACCTCCTTTGTCCTGGAGTGGTCTTACCTTTCCTTAGCTACCATCTTGCTTCTTAAATATGTTAAAAAAAAGCCCTGGAATTTTCCTTAATCTGTTTACCAAAGAAAATTCATGACCCTTTTTAGCCCTTCTAATCCCCTGCTTGAGTTCTTCCCTGTTATCTTCATATTCTTCAAGGACTGTGTGTCTTCCATTTCCTAAACCATACATTCACCTTTTTCTTTTTGACTGAGCTTTCAATTTCTCTTCTCCTCCAAGATTCCTGCATCTTGCCATCCTTAATCTTCATTTACACAGGAACATGTTGTCCTGAACCGTAATAAACAGGCCTTCAAAAGATACCCACATACCAGATGTGGATTTACCCTCAAATAGCTGCCCCCAATCTACATTCCCCAGTTCCTGCCTCTTGTTCCAGCCTAATGGCTTCCTCCAATTTACTGCTTTCACCCAAAGCGTACTCTTGCCTTTATCCATTATTACTTAAAACTTACAGAATTATGGTCACTGTTCCCAAAATGCTCCCCCAATGAAACTTCGATCATCTGGTCGGGCTTACTCCCCAATACCCATTCTAGTGAGGCTACTTCCCTAGTGGGACTATTCACATACTATTTCAAAAAACATCCTACCCATACCTCACAAATTCTTCCCCATTCACAAAGTGAGTCCCAGTCAATATAGAGGAAATGAAAATCACCCACCACAACATTTTACGTTTTTCCATACTCTATCATCTGCTGGCTATTGGGAGGCCTGTAGTACAATCCCAAAGTGACTGCACCCTTCCTATTTCCAAGCTTAACCTAAATGGCCTGGCTGGATAAGCCCTCCAAAGTGTCATCCCTCAGTATAGCTGAGGCATTCTCCCTTATCAGTAGCACGACTCCCACCTCTTTTACACTCCCCTCTATCTCGCCTGAAACATCTAAATCCCAGAACATTAAGCTGCCAATCTTGTCCCTCTCTCCATCAAGTCTCTAATAGTTACAACATCCCAGTCCTATGCATTAATCCAAGCCCTAAGTTCATCTGCCTTACCTGTCATATTCCTCATAGTAAAACAAATATACCTCGGACTGTCAGTTCAACAATCACTTCCTGGTTGTTCTTCCTTAGACTTACTGGTCTTAGCCTCCGACTCCTCCTCATCATTGAATTGCTGATCTACTGCACTGGTTCCCAGCCCCCTGCCACATGGGTTTAAATCCTCCCAAGTGGCACTAGTGCATTCCTTATTACATCCTGTATCTACATACCAGCCTTTTGTGATTCATGCACTAGAATACCTAGGCCTCTCTGTACCTCACAGCTCTGTAATTTCTCCTGCCAAAGTGGACAGTTTACGTATTCCCACATTATACTCTATCTGCCAAGTTTTCACCTATTTAACCGAGCTTAACCCTTTGTAGCAAATTGAGAAACCATACCTTTGATCCCTACATCCAAGTCACTGAGATAAAGTACAAATAGTTGAAGGTTTTGACCTCTAACACCCAGAAGGACAAGGACAGCAGCTAGAGTCAGAGTCATACAGCACAGAAACAGATCCTTCAGTCCAACCAGTGCATGCTGACCATAATCCCAAACTAAACTAATTCCACCTGCCTTTGCTTGGTCCACATCCCTCCAAACATTTCTTATTCACGTACTTCTCTAAATGTTTGAAAACATAGATACATGGGAGCATCACCACTTGCACATTTTCCCTCCAGACCACACTCCATCTTGACTTCAAAATATATTTTTATTCCATAATTGTCACTAGGTCAAATCCTGGGACCTCCTCCATAACAGTAATGTGGGTGAAAATACACTTACAAGGGCTGCAGTGGTTCAGAAAGGTTGCTCACCAACACTTCAAGGGCAATTAGAGACAAGCAACAAATTCTGGCCTTGTCAATGACACTTGACTCTACAATAGTTAATTTTTAAAAACTGATCACCATATTCTGATTCACTTACTGCCTTTTTTATTCTTTTCAACTTGGGTCACAACTTGCACTGCAGGTGTTGGCACTATCAGTCAGATTTGATTCTTCATTCATTTTTTGACTGCTACTGTACCTGGAGTTGGCATATGACAGGGCTATTTTATAAACACATAAAAAATTACAGATAACATTTCTCCAAACTCATTCAAAAGCCTCAATGCCAATCCAGGAGATGTGCATACTACTGGCATTTGTCAGTGACCATTGCCTCTCACCCTGTCACCAAACAATTGGACCAATTATGAAATAAAATGCTTCCATCAGTTGAACATTATCAATGCATCATGTTATGGGAAGCCGAATATTAACCGCACTTTAAAATGCACACAAGAAAACATATCAAATAAAGATGCTCAAATAAGTTAAAGCTAGCCCCAGGAAAGGGCAATGATGATGCAAAAGTTTTGCACCACAACTGGTTTGTGTAAATGTCTGTGTTTTTTTTACCTCAGTACCTACTGACAAGGTTATTCATTCAACCATCCCGTTGTGTAATCGGTGAGATACAGAACGAAACAAAGGATAGAGCAGTATTGCACATAGAACACAAGCACAAAGTAAAAAGAAAGAAAGGAAGCAAAGGAAAGTCACAAAAATAATGAAAAAAATCATTTGTGTTAAATGGTTTGAAAAGTGAAGTTATACATTCAGCTTAATGGTCATAATCAGCTTTGTTTCAATTTCACCGACATCACTCTACCTCATACCTTCAGTACACTGTACTGAAGTCAAAAGAAAATTCATGCTGTATTTTGTAAATTAAAATACTAGAACTCTCCAGATTGGGGTGGAATGCCAGGGAATAGCAGAAGTCACAATCAACACGATTCTTCAGAGCTTGAAGTAGGTGAAGCAAAAAGAATGAAGCTCGCTCAGCCCGTCCTAGCTTGTCGCAGAGAGCAATTTCTCCCCAGTTCTCAACATGGCATAACCCCTAGTCACTGGGTGCAGTGTCTCTCACTCCCCCAATCCCAAAAGGCAGTTCAACTGACCCTTCACATCTCCTGATCTTGGGCTGCAGCTTAACCTTCCCTCCTCTCTCAGCCCCACATGAGCCCCACATGAGCCCCACCTGCAGCTTAACCATTCTCTCACTCACAGTCAGAGTCACACAGCACAGAAACAGGCCCTTTGGCCCAACCCGTCCATGCTGACCAGGTTTCCTGGACTGAACTATTTGCCTGTATTTAGCCCATATCCCTCTAAACCTTTCATATCTATGTACCTGCCCAAATGTCTTAAACATTGTAATTGTACCTGCATCTTCTATTACCTCTGTCAGCTCGTTCCATACATGCACCACCCTCTGCACGGAAACGTTGCCCCTCAGGTCCCTTTTCAATCTTTCTCTTTTCACCTTAAATCTATACCCTCTAGTTTTGGACTCACCTACCCTGGGGAATGGTCCCAGGAGGTGGTTTAGGACCCTACTCCCTTCCCTCACTCTCCCAGACCCCAGGAGGCACAGCTAGTCGCCTCCTCGCTGCCCCAGATCCCACGGTACAGCAAATACCCCTTCTTTCCCCCAATCCAAGAGCGCAGCTAATCCTCACTCCCCCCGATTCCGGTGTACGGCTAATCACCTCCTCACTCCCCCCGATCCCGGTGTACTGCTAATCACCTCCTCACTCCCCCGATCCTGGTGTACGGCTAATCACCTCCTCACTCCCCCTGATCCCGGTGTACAGCTAATCACCTCCTCAGTCCCCATAATCCCAGGGTGCAGACAATCACTGTGTTGTGATCTTAGTAGAAGCCTAAATGACTTTAACATAACATTACAGGGGTCATGGCACCGTCATTGTCCACACATATCTTGACAGGTTGGTGGTCAGGCTTTGCTGATGTGTTGAGACTCATTGAATAATGCTGCCTTTGTGCGTCTCAATGGTTGCAATCTTCTCTTACCTGTTCTACTTTTGCAAACTTTTGGTTTCACAATATACTTGGCACTTCTCCCTAACCTTGCTACCATGGGTGGTCATACCAGGAGCAACAAGATCAAGAAGACAGAAACTGCTGGAGAAACTCAGTGGATGCTGGCAAATCTGATGAGTTTCTGCAGCTATTTTTTTTTCATTTCAGATTTCCAGATTCTGCTGTTATTTGTTTCATTTTAGAGACCACAAAGACATTATTTAAAGTATTGTTACAGTGAACTAACTTTGCCATCACATCAACATGGCCAACTATTCAGTCATCTGAATTTCAGAAGTGAGGTGAGGGTGACATCAGCAGCATTCGGCCAAGTTCAGCATCAGTGAACTCTAAAAAAAAGATCAGTCAATGGAAATAAGGGGGAAAAAACACTCCACTGATTGGTGTCATACCTAGCATAACGATTGGGACTGTTGGCATTCAATCATCTCAACGCCAGAACATCTCTGCAGGTGTTCCTCAGGGTAGTATCCTTCACCCAGCCATCTTCAGCTACTTCATCAATGACCTTCCATCCATCGTACAGTCAGAAATGGAAATGCTCTCTGATGACTGTACAATGTTCAGCACCATTCATTCAACTCCACAATACTGAAGCAGTCTAAGTCCAAATGCAGCTAAATCTGGATACAATTCAGATTCATGGGACAAGTGACATGCATGCCACATTCACAACTGCCAGGCAAAGACATCTCTAACAAGACAGAATCTAGCCACTGTCCCTTCTCATTCAAAGACATATCCAACACTAAATTCCCCATTACCAACATCCTTAAGTTACCATTCACCAGAACCTGAACTAGACTAGCTATAGAAATACTACATCTACAAGAGCAAGTTAGAGACTAGGTGTTATGCACTGAGCAACTCTCTGCTGACCACCCAAATCTGTCCATTATCTACACGGCACAAATCAGGAATGTGATGAAATACTCACCACTTGCCTGGATAAGTACAGTTCCAATGATACAAGAAGCTTGACTTCATCTACAACAAAACAGCCCCTTGATTGGCACCACATCCACAAACACATATTTCCTTCACAATTGCCGCTCAGTAGCAGCACTGCATACCATCTTCAAAATGCACTGCAGAATTTCATCAAGGCTATTTGGACAACATTTTCCAAACTTATGATCACCGCCATTTAGAAGGGCAATGGCAGATGCATGGGAACACCACAAACTTCCGGATATTCACACAAATAGAACACTGGCTAACTAACAGGGAGCACAGATAAATACTATGCCATTTTCTGTTGCTAATACATGTCAATAAGTTGAATGACTGTATTGTACACAAATTTGCTGATGACACAAAGTTTTCAGAGAAAGCAAGTTGTGAGGAGAACAGTCTCAGACACAGGCAGGCTAAAATATTTTTCAGGTGGGAGTACAACACTTTGGCAAGAAGAAAAGGCATATTATTTAAATTGAGAGAGACTGCAGAACTCTGAGGTACAGAGAGATCTGGTGTCCTTGTACATAAATCACAACAAGTTAGCATGCAGTCAAAAGTAGTAATTAGGAAGGCAAATGTACATTGGCCTTTATTATAAGAGGTCAGAGTATAAAAGTTGAGATGTCCATTTACAGGGCATGGGTGAGACGACACCTAGAATACAAAGTACAGATTTGGATGTGCAGAGGGCATAATCTCAAGTAAGTGGTTGCACATTTAAGACAGGAATTTCTACTCTCAGAGGGTTATGAATCTGTGGAATTCTTTACCTTAAAGGGCTGCTGAAGCTAGGTCATTAAGTAAACTAAAGGCAAAGATGGACTGATTTTAATCAGTAAGGAAATCAAGAATTATTGAGGAAAGTCAGGAAAGAGGATTTTCATTAAATGGTGTAGCAGGCTTGAGGGGCTGAATGACTCACTACTGGACAGATTTCTTACAATCTAACATTCTTAGTGCAGAATTTGTTACACCAGCACCTTCTGAATTATGTGAGGCTCACACATCAAACAGCCAAGTACAGAACCAAAACAATGAGAGAACTAAATGTTGGAAATACTCAGCAGCACAGATAGCACCTGCAGAGAGAGAAAAAACACAGGTCAACGACTGACCATTCATATGAACAGATTTTTTTTTGAAAAATCGAATTTACTAAACAATGAGCCACCATCTCCAAGATTCTCCAAAACACCCTCCCCATGGGAGTTACACTGACAGTGAATACCCCACCAAGGAGTTACAGACACCCTCTCCCCACCCCTGAGATTAATGATTCCCCCGTTTTAACTCCACCACCGGGGAGTTACAGTGATTCCCCACACCCCAGGGGATGACAGTGCCACCTTAACACCCTACCCCGTTACCTCAGAATCAACCTCAACGGCCAGGCCAACCTCTCACTGCGCCTGTGCAGATCTTCCCCGATGACCTGATGGGAGTTGTAGTCCGCACGACGCGCGGCATTTCCATACTGCGCAGCTGCAAAAGCGCCCCTTCCATAATTGCGCTGTCGCAGTGACGTTCGGCCCTCACCCAGCTGCGCAGCCGCAGTGACGGAGAGACAGCCAGCGGCTGCGCAGCCGCAGTGATGTGCGCCCCCCCACACGCGGAAGGGCTGCGCAACCGCAGGAACGTTCGGCCCACGCCGGCTGCGCAGCCGCATTGACGAACGATACTCACCCGGCTGCGCAGCCGCAGTGACGGACAGTCCTCACAAGGCTGCGCGGCTGCAGTGACGGTCATTACTGACTGCACATCCGCCGGGTGCCAGGTGTGTCGCTGTGGGGCAGTGTCAGCTTCTCCCTGCTGTATTATAGGCAGGGATTGGAGGGTAAAGTTCTGGGCATGAAATGGACTGTTATCAGTTCCCCTTAAAAAGATAGAAAAGGAAGGAAAGATGGAAGGGCTTCGCAGTGCTGGAGAAAGGGGATTCAAGGACAGAGGAGCAGGAAAGTTGACGTTTTGGGCCGAGACCCTTCTTCAGAAATGGGGAGGGGGAAGGGAGCTCAAAAATAAATACAGGAGAAGTGGGGCTGGGGAAAGCTATGCGGGATGGTGATAGGTGAGTGCAGGTGAATGCACCACTCTTATGTGGTGGGAATTGGTCAGTGAGGTGCGAGTGACGTATTGAAGCATTAATGGAATGGGCTACCAGAGAAAGTGGTTGAGACAGG